CTTTCCATTTTAATGAAACGTTTTTCTATGTTGCTAATTTGTCGAAGACACGTTTTAGCAGCGATTCTAGACGCGAAAGCCGCTCTCTGGAAATTCTGCGCTCCGAACGCTGTAATCCAACGCCTGAGAATTTGTGGAATCTGTGTTTTTAAGTGGGCGCATTGGTTTGGTATTTTATTATTATTATAAAAATATATTTATATAATATAAAATATTATTTGAATTATTTAAATTATAATATATAAATTAATACTATTTATATTTGGTTTTGTATTTTATAGCATTTTGATTTGGGAAAAAGTTAGAGTCTCGAAGGGGCAATGGTTACTTACTCCTTTCTGTCCTTTACGCGCGCGTTCAGACCGTTCTACACAGGGTGGACCACTCGTCGTAACTCGAAAACATGACTGAATAGGAGGTACAGTCTCCCACAAAATTGTTCGTACACCTTTTAAAACGCAATAACTGTTTTAAAACTGAACTAAATGACTTGAATTTTTTTCGATGAGAGAGGGACTAGTCTACTAGACGACGACTGAAATGCTTCTTTTTTTAATTTTACTGTTACTTGGAATTATACAAAAAATTAATTTTTCATCTGAGTCTATAAAGAAAATTTGAAAAATGCCTTTCATAGATCTTGGTAACTTATGTGCATGTTGAAAATTTGATCGAAATCGGTTCACGCGTTGTTGCGAGTTGCAACAAATTAAAAATCGCAAAAATCGCAGTTTTATCACGATTTTATATATATAAACCAAAAAATATAAGAAATCTGCAACTTTTAAAAAAACCTTAAACTCCTGCAGCACGAATCTGGGTTAATCAAATTTTCAGCATGCATATAAGTTACCGAGATCTACGAAAGGCATTTTTTAAATTCGTTAAATTTTATAATAATAATTAATATAATTAATAATGATAAATTAATAATAATTAATATAATTAATAATAATAAATTTTTTAAATTCGTTATAGGCTGACATAAAAAAGTTAAAAAACGAAGATTTCTAATTTTCTCTTTTCATTCCAAGTACATAATAGCAAAATTAATAAAAAGATTTTTAGCCATCGTCTAATAGAGTAGTTCCTTGATCGTCTAAAAAAAATTCTACTCATTTAGTTCAGGTTTGAAAAAGTTATCGCCTTTTACGAACACTTTTGTGGCCCTATTTCTGTTCAAAATATTTTCTTTCTTTTCTACTTTTATTCAATCTATTTTTGCGGGTCTATTTATATTCAAAACATTTATTATTAAAATTCATTCACACTGCAAATCTGCGCTGTCATAAGAATCCAAAAGGTACCTTGAAAATATTTTTCTACACTTGTCAATTTTACGTAATCATCATTTTCAAATTCACAAAAATTCCAAAGGCAAAAACACATCTTTATTTAACGCTGATTTAACCGATTCTACACTTTCGATTTGAAAATTATTGAAATTATGTTATATATTATATTATATTATATCATATTATATTATATTATATTATATTATATTATATTATATTATATTATATTATATTATATTATATCATATCATATTATATTATATTATATTATATTATATTATATTATATTATATTCGCGTCGCAATAAAAATATCCCAGCGTCTAAATAAATTCGGTCTCGCGTCTTCGGTGCCCGGTAATTCTGTCTTGAACTTCTCTTCTCGCGATCGACGCAGAGACAATTCCCATTTTGCTTAAAGATCCCGCAGTCCGGTCGGAATACGTTCCAGTGAATTCGTCGTCGCCGGATCCGAAAGCCCGGGCACAATTTTTGTCCCATTGTCCCGTTAATTGCTTCTCAGAAACGACTTCTGACATCCCGTTCGAACTCGGCAACTCGGTTAATTAATCTACACGGACGATTCAACGAGTTTTACTCGTCGCGACGCGACGGTGCGACGATCCGAATTTCATCTCGGACAGTTTAAGAAGTCCGGACGCGGCGGAAAGGGGGGAAGGGGGCGAGGCGAGGCCGGGGGTTAAATGGCCCCGTTCATAGCGAGCCGGGGAACAAAACACAGAGCCGACAAATTGTCGTCGATCCGGTTTCTCCGCTTCGCGGGCACGAGTAAACTAGCGCCGCGCCGGCAGTTACTTTGCCGTTGGCAGACTTACCCGCCGAGTTTACTAGATTACTTTCTCGTTGCTGAAGGGTGCGCGCGAGGGGCGAGCGCGTGTGTGTGCCCGTGCACACATTCGCCCACGGCCGATGAAATTACCGTGGTCCCAGAAGACGTCAAAGTTCACCGGGGCTGAAGTTTAAATGTCTCCTTCGTCGAAACAAATTATGTATTATACGGACGAGCGCGGCAGGCGTTTGCGGGTGACGGAAGTGTGCTCGTGCCGGAACTTCTGACCCCGTGTCTCGGTACCCTGAAATATTTAGCGGTACAGAATGACGAGACACCGCTGAAATATTAACTCCTGCGGAGACGCCCATGCCCGCTATCGTCAACCCTCCAAGAAGCGTTCAGAGATTCTCCGTTGCTTGCTTGCTTGCGCTTGCTTGCTAACCGGGGGGACGCCAGCATTCTTGCGAGTAAATTTTTCGGAGCCCTGAACAACCCTGAACAACCCTGAACAACCCTGAACAACTTCGAATCTCTTCGCGGCCATCCGGAGACAGGCGCAGCCTCGCGACATCTCGGGTCTCCTGAATACTTCATGCTTTCCTCCTCTTCGACAACGGTTTCTTTCTTAAAGATCGCATCGCTTGGGATAAAAAAGCTAGTGGATTTGAAGAATACGCTGCGAACGGCTTTCCTGGACGCTTCCTCTCGCGGCGTTTGGATAATTGTCATACGCCGGGAATTTTTGTGTCGCGCGCATGATCGATGAACCGTGCAACAAGATGCTAGATAAGGAGACTAGGAATTTGCTATACAGGCAGCGACACAGCATGACATTCTATAACACGGTTTCGCTGTGACACGATAGGATAAATTTCAAGAACTTTTGTACGACGTTGTACTTCTGGATAACATGATTTTTGTTTAACATATTAAAACACTGAATAACCTTGAGATAATGACAGGAAGGAACAATGAATAATGAATATAATTGATAATAATAGTAATTATGTTTAACAGGATGATCCAAAATTATGGTGCTTCCGGGAAATTATTCCTGAAGTCATCCGAAGCAACTTTTTCCTTTACGAAAATTGTCTCCGAGGCATCGTTAACGAATTATTGACGAAAAACGCTGACCAATGAGGGGCGAGCTCGGCTGGCGCGCAGCCAAGGAGCGCGCGAAGCCCAGTTCCGCTTATTGGCTCAGCCGCCTAGCGCCAAGCGAGCTCGCCCCTCATTGGTCAGTGTTTCTCGTTGATAATTCGTTAACGACGCTTCGGAGAACATTTTTGCAAAGGAAAAAGTTGTTTCAAATCACCTCAGGAATCCCTCGTTTCCTGGAAATACTATAATTTTGGGACAACCTGTATAAATATATACCCTTCCGCTGAAAGAAGCCGAAAATTCAAAAGGGAGTAGTAAAATTGTATATTTTCGTACCATGAATTATACAATAATCTTGCAAGAACCAGCAAACAAATCAAAATTACAGATTTTTTAAAGAGGATGAAAGTTGCAAAAAATCTGAACGGAGAAGATTGTTCAGAAAGTGAAGGTGAAATTAATCGTTGTCGTTTGATTGCACAGAGTAGTGACGAGAACAAAATTTATTAAATTAAGGTTACATTAAATGTAAATAATATTTTCTGTCCTTTTTTTCGTTTTCTGTTATACGTACATTTATATTTTTAATAAAAGTTAAATATAAGTATATTAAGCTTGTATAGAATTTAAAAAAATGTTCGTTTTTAATAAGTTTTCCGAACGCAACCCTCCTTTTTGTACTGACTTTACCATGTTAAAGAAGGTTACAGTAATGTCTCCCTAACTGACGCTCAGATTTTGCACAAAAATGGACAATTTGGGAAGAGCGGATACGATTATTCAAGGCTCGCAGCTCGTTTTTATAGTTATTAATAATTCGTAACTATAAAAATGAACCACAAGGATCGAACAATCGTATCTTCTCTTCCTAAATTTTCCATATTTGTGGATAATCTGAGTGTTAATTAGAGAAACATTACTATACAAGCGAACTATAGTAATGTCTCCCTTACTGACGCTCAGATTGTGCACAAAAATGGACAATGTGGGAAGAGCGGATACGATTATTCAAGGCTCGCAGCTCGTTTCTATAGTTGTTGACAATTCGTGACTATAAAAATGAACCGCAAGGATCGAATAATCGTATCTCCTCTTCCTAAATTGTCCATTTTTGTGGAGCGTCAATTAGAGAGGCATTACTGTACCTGTATTTTTATCGTCGTTGTACCTCGAAAAAAAAACATACTTACAGTGCTAACAATCGATCGACTACGAATTGTAAACGAACTCCAAAATTTCTCTGCCGTCCTCCAGAAAATGACAGAATAAGAAACGAGTAGGATGAGGTGTGAAACATTTTTAAATTAGCCGTCATAGCTTGACATATCCGTCGATCGAATCGCGTAGCGAAATTCGGTGCTCGATAATTTCTGCTTCGAAGAGTTTACGCGACGTCGCGAAGGCGCTCGCTGAATCGTTCGGAGACATCTCGAGCAAGGGCGCCGCTTAACTGAAAATGCCGTCGCCGTTTCAATCTCGTCGGCAAGTCCGAGGCATGTTTTATGCTCGGGAATATTTACGAGGTTAGGTCATTCGTCGCCGGAATTCGTTATTCTTATGCGTCGAAGTGCTCGTTAAAGTGCCGGGTCGGTGCAACGGTGGCAAGAATACTATATAGAATACTAATCGCAGCCGTCGGCCGTCGAACGACGGAAGAAAATAAGGGACGAGAAATAAGGCGAAAGAATATTCCGCGTTTGATGTCGCGTCCGCGGTCGCGACGTCTCGTTATCGGCGAATTCGCTTAGGCGATCAGCCCTGTCGGCGGAACGTCGGAACTGATTCTTCCTTTGAAATTCCGTTTGCGAAGGTGTCCTGGGTCAGAGCAAGGGATATACACATCCTAACTGCGGGGGCGTACACCTACACGAGCGATCAGCGATTCCAGGCACTGCACGGGCAAAACAAGGGCCAAAGTAACGAGTGGTCCGAATGGACGCTCTACATAAAGTGGGCGCAGGAGAGAGACCAGGGATTCTACGAATGCCAGATATCGACCATTCCCGTCAAGTCGCATCAGTTTCGCTTGAACGTCGTCGGTAAGTCAACAGCCTTTGTCCAAACGTCGCCCTGCTAACAAGGGAGCCCACAATTCTCATGAAACTTTGCACAGCTGTCCGATAGAACAGATCCAAGAATTTTTAGCCGTGTTTCATTTGTGCGCGCTTTTCTTCTTTTTTTTACTTCAAATATTTGACCGACGCGATAACACAATTTTATGAAACAATTTCGTAAAATTAAGACAAAGTAGTCGTGCACGTTTTAACTCTTTGAGGCACGGCGGGATTAAAACTTTGCTATCTTATCGATGCACGGTAATGCATGATGGGACATACGGTAATGTCTCCCTTACTGACGCTCAGGTTGTGTACGGAAATGGACAATTTGGGAAGAGGGGATACGATTGTTCGAACCTTGCGAGTCGTTTTTATAGTTGTTGAGAATCGATAACCGTAAAAGAACGAGCGACAAGGCTCGAACAATCGTATCTTCTGTTCCAAGATTGTCCACTTTTGTGGACAATCTGAGCGTCAATTAGAGAGACATTACTGTACTTTTAGGCTCACCTCGAAATATTGCAATAGCTGCATTTGTGAACCCACGTGACACGGTGGGACTGTTTGACCGAATAGTCAACAACAAATTGAATTGAATTATTATTATTGTTTTTATGCTTTTATATCGTGCGATTCCTTCGTTAATAAAAATATAGCAATTTCGTTTAATTTAAAACGCAGTAAAATTTCTGTGCTACATTGATCTATTTTATTTTCTAAAATCCTGTGCCCCAAAGAGTTAAAGCGCAATAACTTCTTTAGCTCATTATCCGCCGCAATTCAAAGATACAAAAAAAGAAATTAAATTAAGGCTATTATTATTATTATTTCAATCTGAAGTTTACAATGATTTCAAACAAAATAGAATTCTTGATACTTTCATGGAGCACGTGATACGTTCTCGCTATTTCAATGCTTGTATTTTATTTAGAAGTTCAATCTTTTAAAAGAAAACAATTTGAAAAAAATTTGAAAAATTTTGTCTCAAAAATGAGACACTCTGGTGGATAATGTGTTAAAGCTGGACTAAACGTCTCGAGTTTCTTTTAAACGTTAAACGATAAAATGATGACAATAAAATCGATGAAAAAATACCAGATTACAGCAATGTTTACCGGAATCGATGAATGTAGTCCGATAAAAAGCGCTAATCGGTCCGAAGCGCTTGTTAAAAACGGGTCGGTTTACTAGCAGTTTCACGAGTAGCCCGGAGCCGTAATAACGCCGGCGACTTTATTACGTGACGTATAATGATAAATGCGCGAGATTCAGCGTTATCTCCGTTATAACACTTGTTCGAGATGCACCGTAAACCCGTCTTATTCTCAATTGTTCGCGGGGAACGATTCCCCGGCGATCCGGGAATGCGCCGCGTCATGCCGTGGGAAACGTTCGGTCCATTAACGGCTCCACAAAAGTAGAAACAACCTAATTGCCGAGATTGCGGTATCGCGTTCGTCCTCGTTAGAACGATCGCGATGAATCGAAACCGCGAATAACAGGCTCCGGGCTCGTCATGTTTCACGAACAGCCGAAGCCTCCGGTTCTTCGCCGAGAAACGCAGCAAAAACGGACAATTTGGGAAGAGGTGACACGATTATTCGATTCTTGCGGTTCATTTTTATGCAGGATGTCCCAAAAATGTCTCGTAATCCGGAAATAGCGGGTTCCTCGGATCATTTGAAGCAAGTTCTTCCTTTACAAAAATGTTCTCCGAGGCACCGTTAACGAGTTATTAACGAAAAACAGCGACCAATAAGAATCGAGTACGGCTAACGCGAGGCGGCCCGGCCAACCAGCGCACGAAGCCCAGTTCCGCTCATTGGCTCGGTCGTCTCGCGCCAGCCGAGCTCGCCTCTCATTGGTCACTGTTTTTCGTTAATAACTCGTTAACGGTGCCTCGGAGAAAATTGTTGTAAAGGAAGAAGTTGCTTCGAATGACCCGAGGAACCCGCCACTTTCGGATTGCGAGACATTTTTGGGACACCCTGTAGTTACGAATTGTCAACATCTATACAAACGAGCTGCAAGGCTCGAGAAATTACCGTACATCTGGACTTCGACCGCAACAAATTAACAGGCCTAGTTGCCGATAAAACCAACAATTATCGAAATAGCTCAGAGCGAAAGATCAGCAAATTTAGAACAGAACACAAATTATTTAACGTCTTGAACAAGCCTTTGAACAGAGCTTTGAACGAGTACAGTAAATTCTCTCCAATTGTCGCTCTGCTTGCGTAAAAAAATGGACAATTTGGGAAGAAGAGATACGATTATTCGAGCCTTGCGCATCGTTTTTATAGTTGTCGACAATTCGTAACCATAAAAATAAGTCGGAGGCCACGTGACACGATTCGAAGGCTATTGCGGAGGTCACGTGACATGTGGCAATTCGTGGCACTTCGGCATTTCGAAGACAATTCGGAGGTCACATGCCACGATTCGAAATTAGTACAGCAATTTCTCTCTAATTCGCGCTCGGATCTCTCGTTTCTACAGGTGTCGACAATTCGTAACCATAAAAATAAGTCGGAGGCCACGTGACACGATTCGAAGGCAATTCGGAGGCCACATGCCACGATTCGAAATTAGTACTGTAATTTCTCTCTAACTCGCGCTCGGATCTCTCGTTTCTACAGTTGTCGACAATTCGTAACCACAAAAATAAGTCGGAAGCCACGTGACACGATTCGAAGGCAATTCGGAGGCCACATGCCACGATTCGAAATTAGTACAGCATTTTCTCTCTAATTCGCGCTCGGATCTCTCGATTCTACAGTTGTCGACAATCGATATAAAAACGAGCCGCGAGGCTCGAACAATCGTGTCTCCTCTTCCCAAACTGTCCATTTCTGGGGACAATCCGAGGGTCAATTGGAGAGACATTGCCGTATTTCCTGGCGGCGCGAGAGGCCGGCCGCCGCGAACACACCGAGAGAGCGATGTTTATCGAGAGAGCCGAAAGAGAACTCGATTTCGTTTTCCTTTTAATTCCAGTGCCGACGGCGACGATACTGGGCGGTCCAGACCTGTACGTTGGCGCAGGTAGCACGATAAACCTGACGTGCGCTATACACTTCAGCTCGGAGCCGCCAGCCTTCATCTTTTGGTATTACAACGAGAATGTCTTGAGCTACGACAGTCCCAGGGGCGGCGTCTCGGTGATAACCGAAAAGGGTGGCGACATCACCACCTCCTGGCTCCTTATCCAGACAGCACAACCCTCGGACTCCGGGGAATACAGCTGCAAACCCAGCAATGCCAATACGGCGTCCATCAAAGTTCATGTACTGAATGGTGAGTGTTTGCACGCTCGATTACCCGATCCCGAGCCACCGCTGTTCTCCCGCGAAAATATTAAACGGTGTCGTAAATAATCGACCGTTCCTCTCGCGGGAACGATAATCGTCCCGCTGCGCGTCTTCTACGATTTTACATGAAATTTCAATAGTGATTAACACCCGCGCCCTTATTTATGTACGGGCAGCGGCGGTGTTAGCGATACATCCCTCCTGGCGAAAAGCATGCGTTCGGTACACACACACATGTACGCCTCGTTCTAGAACCGCCATTAAAATCAACGTAACGCGTGATCCGACATAAAACTTCAACGCTGACGGTCGTATTTTATGAACATCATTTTCGTTAATTATCAGCGGCAATGTAAATAATACGTCCGCGGCGAACGGTATACGACCGAACGTACCAACCTTCGTTGTAATTAACGCGTACGATATTTCCGTTAATGATGCAGGCGAGTGCGATGATAAAATTCGTCACGTGCAATGAAAATGTTAAGATTGAAGCGATATGCGCATGGGAAAATGTTAAGATAGAAGCGATATATATAGCGTACTTCACTTTTATCTTAATGTTTTCATTAGACGTCGAGAATTTTATCGTCGCATTTGCATGCCGACTGTAGTGCTTCGTTAATTGCAGTTCAGTTAATTTGACCGACTGCAGTCGGTGACGAAAGTATTCGAACAGTGTTTGAAAAGTGTTTGACTTTCTACGAGATATGTTTAAATAAATATTTAATGAAAACTTTGCGGTATATTAAAGTAGAATATATAAATGTCAAAATGCAAGAAACTTTCGATTTAGTGTAATACGTTGTCTACGTAATTAAAAATATATTAAGGAACATCCAATTTTCGTGTAACATAAGTATTCGAACGCTTTACAAAATTCAGTCGGAAAGTTAGAAAAATAGATTTTTTTATTAACTTTTGTTACTAATTTTATACCTCTGTTGTTTGACAATTTGTTTCAAGAGGATTGACATTTTAAAAATCATTCTTTATTTATGATCGACGATGTTTTGTATCTCTATTTTACACGACTTTATGATTTGTTTATAGTATGTATGTTTTTTGTTTGCAACTCGTGTGACCGAATTCACGTCACGGGGATAGACAGTCATGAATAAGGCACGTGTAAATAATAATATAAATAATAATATATAATATAATATAATATAATATAAATATAATATAATATAAATATAATATAAATAATAATTTATATTAATTTGTTAATGCATTTGAAGGAGTTTGTAAAATTAGAATGCAGTATTGGTCTCCGTTTACCCGCTAATATTGATGTAACATGGAAAAACTGAACCAAAAATGCATTCTAATTTTACAAATTTCTTCAGAATAACATTATTAACAAATTAAGATAACAATTTATATTTATACGTGTCTTACACACGACTGTCTATCCCCATAAAGTGAATTCGGTCATTCGAGTTGCAACAACAAAAATACATACAATAAACAAATCATAAAATCGTACAAAATAGAGATAAAAAAGCAAAAAAAACATCGATCTTAAATAAATACTTATTTTTAAAATGTCAAACTTCTTGAAACATCTTGTCAAACAGTGGAGACATAAAATTAGTAATAAAAATGAACAAAAAGAATCTATTTTTACAACTTTCCGACTGAATTTTACAAGCCGTTCGAAAACACTTACGTTGCACGAAAAATTCAATGTTCCTTTATATTTTTTTCATTATATAAACAACGTTTTAAACTGAATCGAAAGTTCCTCGCATATTGACATCTATATACTCCGCTTCAATATTTGTCCCTAAAAATGACTAAAACTAAGAAAATTGTTTAGGAATTACTTCACAGCGACCTTTGTTATTCGAAGTGCCAAAACAGCGTTGCGACGCTTTGTCGCGCGTTTAACGATTTTATATTTTCCCGACGCTGCACAGGCGAAATTTATAATTGTCCAGCAAAATATAAACGCCCCCGCGGGACGGATTAAAATATTTATAAAACGATTGCACCTGCTATCAATCAAGCCGCGTCTCCCAACGGTTCGGGGATCATTCATTCGACGTTATCGATTATTTAAACGCTTTAATAAATAACTGCTGCGTACTTCGTTAATTGTGACGTGCTCGATTGTGTCGTCGCGCGATCAATCGGTCGGCAACCTAACGTTTCCAGCGGGAGCGCTATTGGCACTCGGCCGGGGAACAATGCGACGATAGATAAAGGTAATGTCGTGCTCGGCGAACGGGTGTCTTTTGAGTCGTACACGCGCGGCGATAGGGGCGGTGAACGCGAAACGATCGGCTTATTAAAACTCGGCAATTACGGAGTTGCAAAGTTTTCTCCGCTTATTCGATAATAGGGCAACAGCGGCGGCAGCGGCGGCGGCAGCGGCAGCAACAACGAGAGCAGAGCGTACAGGAAACGAGTTTCGAAGCGGCAAGAATGTTTACCCGTTCTGCTCGTCGTTTCTACTCCGATACGAAACGCCCCGGCCGGAATAGTTTCGTTAATGCGCATTTCAAACGTAATTCCCTGTGATTTTCATTATTACGTTCGCGGCTGTAACAATTCCCCGTTCCGGAGCATTTTTCATCAGCATTTTTCTACCGAAACTTTCCCAATGTCCGCGCGTAATCACAGAATTTTCCAGCATACTTCCGCGAGGTCCGCCGCCGGCGGCGACTGCGCGAAAAGTTGCCCCGTTCTCTGTTGTTAACGGCCGGAATTCTTCGTCGGCCGCGTATCGTCTGGTCTCTCTGCACACTGCACACTGCACAATACATACATATTGCACACTGCACACTGCACGTTGCACATTGCACATTGCACATTGCACATTGCACATTGCACATTGCACATTGCACATTGCACACTCCACAATACATACTGCACACTGCACATTGCGCCCTGCACACTGCACACAGCACACTGCACACTGCACACAGCACAATACACACTGCACACTGCACAATATGCACTACACACTGCACAATACATACTGCACACTGTACAATACATACTGCACACTGCACATTGCACACTGCACACTGCATAATACATACTGCACACTGCACGCTGCACGTTGCGCACTGAACAATGCACACTGCACACTGAACAATACACACAGCACATTGCACAATAAACTCTGAATACTGCACACTGCACACTACACAATACACACTGCACACTGCATACTCCACGCTGCAGAATATACAGAGCACACTGCACAATAAATACTGCACACTGCACACTGCACACTGCATACTCCACGCTACACAATATACAGAGCACACTGCACAATAAATACTGCACACTGCACACTGCACACTGCATACTCCACGCTACACAATATACAGAGCACACTGCACAATAAATACTGCACACTGCACACTGCACACTGCATACTCCACGCTACACAATATACAGAGCACACTGCACAATAAATACTGCACACTGCACACTGCACAATATATATATTGCATACTGCACACTGAACACTGCACACTGCACACTGCACGCTGCACAATACACACTACACACTGCACACTGCACACTGCACACTGCACACTGCACACTGCACAGTGCACACTGCACAGTGCACGTTGCGCACCGCACACTGCGCAGAAAGCGCAACGCTTTGGATTCCCGAGGCTGACGATAAGAGGACCGTCGATCGCCGTCGACAAATTTCGTCCATGTAAATCACGGTGCTTGCCGGGTCACGGAATTCTTACGAACTTCGAGCAGTCGTGCCCCGCCTCGGCCCGACGGGCGCGCCGGACCGAAATCGAGCGGAAATTGCATTTCGATCGGTCGCATAAAATACTTGGCCGTCGTGCCGCGAGCGACGTTTAACGAAGAAAGAACAGGCAAGCGCGGCACATCGATACGGGCCTTTGGAAACTCGCCGTTCCGTGCCGCGGGAAAATATCACGGGAACTTGCCAAAGATATTTTCGCGATACACTATCCCTCGCTAAAGTCGTCAAACTTTAAATGTTCCAAGCGAACGGGTGAATATTTTGGATATCTTTGAAGTTCCGGAAGGGGGGGGGGTATCTTTTCAGCATAAATAAATCGATTTTCTTGTTCTAACGTTCCGACGGCTCGGGTTCGTTGCGATGCAGAGATTGTTATGCGACTATTTAGTTCTGACAATTAATTTCAATTTTTACGCGATTCGTTAATGTTTGTGGGAAGTCTGACTTGTATAGAAGGAGTAATTAGTACAATAAGTTCTCTATAATTGACGCTTACATTGGATGGACAATTGGACAATTTTGGATGAGTGGACAATTGGACAATTTTGAATGATTTGACAATTGGACAATTTTGGACAATTTGACAATTGGACAATTTTTGACGATTGGACAATTGGACAATTTTGGATGATTTGACAATTGGGCAATTTTGGACAATTTGACAATTGAACAATTTGACAATTTTGGACAATTGAACAATTGGACAATTTTGGACAATTTTGGACAATTTTGGACAATTGAACAATTGGACAATTTTGGACAATTTGACAATTGGACAATTAAATGGACAATTTGACAATTGGACAATTAAATGGACAATTTAGGAGGAGAAGATATGATTATTCGAGCCTTGCAGCTCTCTCTCTCTCTCTCTCTCTCTCTCTCTATCTCTCTCTCGTTTTTATATTTGTTGACAATCGGTAACTATAAAAACGAGTTGCAAGGCTCGNTTACGCGATTCGTTAATGTTTGTGGGAAGTCTGACTTGTATAGAAGGAGTAATTAGTACAATAAGTTCTCTATAATTGACGCTTACATTGGATGGACAATTGGACAATTTTGGATGAGTGGACAATTGGACAATTTTGAATGATTTGACAATTGGACAATTTTGGACAATTTGACAATTGGACAATTTTTGACGATTGGACAATTGGACAATTTTGGATGATTTGACAATTGGGCAATTTTGGACAATTTGACAATTGAACAATTTGACAATTTTGGACAATTGAACA